CATGCCAAGTGTATATAGCGCTCCTTTAATCAATTTAATACATTACCATCAAGAGGTATGCGTTTCCTAATTTCATTTCTTTTTCCATTCCAGCTAAGGCTCTGTTTGATGTTGCACCGTACCATCATACAAGAAAAGTGAAAGCATAATGGCAAATTATAGAAATATCTATTGTAGGAAGAGAGATCGGCTTTGTGAGTAAATTCCAAGCAAGCATCCAACGTGAAAATGCTCTGTAACAACTATAATGTCAAATGGGTGGTTTCTCTTTTGGCAAATGTAAACTTGACACAGAAGCCATAAGAAAAACAGTAAGGAGCCAGCTAACACTTGCATCTCTTCTACCAAACTGTACCCAATTTTATTGGGATATAAACTTGAACCAGACATAAAGGAGTTATGGGTCTTAACCCGCACTTTTTGGACAAAATAGAATGTATTGCAAACAAAGGATTTCTGATCAATCAGTTAGATTAACAACAGGCTATAACTAGGTAAGAAGCCATGAATTAACTTTCCAGCTCAATGTTTTGTTGAACCATAAATGAATATCGATGATAATGTTAAATTCCTTTTTATTAGAAGCAACAAAATGGTTGTATAAACTGACATGATAGCATCCAGTTCAAGAAAATTATGAGTCAATGCAACTAGACACCGTCCTGCATAAACTCATATAACAGGAGTTAACAAGGGTTCATTTTTAAAGTGTGCCTCCAAGTTTCTTACCACGAGGTCTGCCATTGCACTGCTAGTCTCCACAGTGTCAGTACCAACATGAGGCAACAGGACCACATTATCAAGCTTAAACAGTTGCTCAGGTGCTTCAGGCTCATGTTCAAACACATCAAGTCCAGCTCCACCTAACCGACCTTCAAGCAAAGCAGAAACAAGCTCAGGTTCATCTACAAGTGCCCCTCTTCCAATGTTGATGAGAATACCCTTGGGACCTAATGCATTAATGACTTTGCAATTAATTATGTGGTGGGTTTCTTCTGTCAAGGCACAAGCAACCATAAGGATTTGAGAATTTGCAGCCAAGTCAATGATGCTTGAGTAATAGGCATAATTTGTATTTGGTTTCCTAGATCTAGAATGATAACTAATTCGGCAGCCAAAGGCTTCAGCTCTTTTTGCTATTGCTGATCCAATCCTGCCCAACCCGACAATGCCCACTGATTTACCACTGAACTGAAAGAGGCAAAAGATAACACACAAACACCTAGAAGTAAGAATAAAAAATCAAAAAGAAGCAAAAGGATTAAAATAAAAGGCAGGTGGCACTTAGGCTTCATATCCAAGTTAGACATACAACCAAACTACCATTCTATATTCCACATAACTCCAACACCAATATTCCGGTTGAATTATTTCATAAAAGATATAGTTTGTGTTTCAAATAATATGAAATGACAATGCTGTATATATGTATATAGGAAGATCATGAATAAGATTGAACAACCCCTAATGGGCCAGGTGTCTAAGCCAGAGAAGCTGGAGGGCATACTAAGAAAGTCCAATTCTCTACCTTACTAAAATTTATCAACTTTTGTAGAAATTTCATTGTTTTTCCCACCCTGTATACGACACTTTAGTTTTCCTTTTTCTAACTTATTCTGTGCAATAAGATGCAAATCTTTACTATGCAGAGTGAAAATTGAACAAAGAAAGTTCTTATACCTGAAGTCAATTCTAAAAAATCACCCTAAAATAATCATGACGCAGCACATACCCCCAACTGCATTTAAAGCCTTGAACAAATGGAGAGGAAAGAACTCTAGTATTCCTCAAAATTATGATTTACACTCATACAGATTTTAGCAACATGTAAAATAGCAAAAGAAAATATTTTTAAATAGATAAGATCCATGTTTACTTATAATCATTTCAAAGAAGTCTGAGTTATCTTCTTAAAATGGTTTCCAGTAGCAGACATAAAGACGACTTATATTCTAGACAGTTCTCTGATGAAACATTCATGAGCATTCCCAGACTTGTATGCAACTTAAATGCCTACAAGTTAATGAAATGCCTCAAGTTCTCTTTATTCAGCTTCCCTAAATTCTGTGCACAGACCAGGTTAACAAATACCAAAATTGCCCATAATCAGAGAAGCAATTAAATCAAACTACGGAGGTGACAGAACAAAGGATGGTGACTAATTACCATCTGGCTTAACAATCCCAATTGTTGCATATACATAAAAACAGAAATCGACCCACCCAACAAAATGGTAAAAAAGAAAAGTTTGCAAGATAACAGATTGTTCCTCTTAACACTAAATGTCAACATAAATTATGATTTGGGAAACTGAAATTAATATCACCAAATTGAATAGACAAAACCCTGCAATACTAACTACCCATCAACAAGAACTCTCATTTCCACCTATTCAAGTAATTCCATATAAATAAATCAAAAAAATTTACAATTTTTTCATCTAAAACTACATACTAAGCTGCATCATGATTTGGGTAATAGAAATTGATATCTACCGAATTGAATAGACCAAAATCCTACAACTAACCTCCCATGGATAAAAACTCTCATCACCACCAATTCAATCAATTCCAAATTAACAATCAAAGATGGAAGGAAAAGGAAGAGGACCCAGAAGCCAACCTTTGTAGCCAATCCGAAATCACCATTGACCCACTTTCCACTCCTCACAAACCCGTCACAAACACAAACCCTTCTCAAAACTGCTATTGCCAACCCAATAGCCAAATCTGCAACATCATCCGTCAAGACATCAGGGGTGTTAGTGACCCTAATTCCCTTCTCTTTGCACTTCTCCAAATCAATCTTATCCAAGCCCACACTGTAGCTCGCAACAATCTCCAAATTCGGCAGAGAATCTATGAGCTGTGCATCCGCTCCAATATTGGTGTCACCCACCACAGCTTTAATGTCAACTGAGTTGTTCTTCAGGAATTCAGCCATTGAAGAAGAATGGTTCCAGGGTTTAAGAAGGTTGAAGCGACTCTCGAGTTCTTGTTCGAGGTAAGAGTACATGGGGGAGGTCATCAGGACCCCAATGTCCTTCATTTCCGCTGTGTAGGGGGGAGGAGAAAACACGGTTAGGAAGGATTTTGGTGGGGGTTTCTTCACTTCTTGAGTGAGATTAATTTTAACGGGGAACGGCGAAATTAATTCGGTAGGAGAGAACCGAGAGCAGAGTGAGTAAAAGGGACTCCGTAACAATCTCCTCATTTCCAATTTCTAAGAGAGATTTGATAACGGGGACCACTACAGTGCAAGGGAGGGTTTTGGTAGGGTTTGTTCACTTAAAGGATTCATTACTTTAATGTTCTGCTACTCACATTATATTATATTATAATATGAACCATTAAATAAAAATATATTTACATTTAGGTCTCATGAGCCAATAATTATATGTTTGATGAAAAATTACGCCTTAACCTTAGACTTATGATTCAAATTTCTCCTCCTAGAAATTTTGTTGTGTTGCTTTCCCGCAGACTATAAGTCAAGAACCCATGCTTGAACAACCACCATGCTCATGTCATGGGCTGCAGAGAAGACCAAGATGGATGTTGTTAACCCCAAATGTCATTTTTACAAATTTGTAACTTTTTTTTTCCTAGCACCAAAGCGTTTAAATCCCTAATCTTGATTCAAAATCAAAATATGTAAGTTAATAGATATTAACTTGATTAAATTCTTGTTGGTTGTTGACCCTTTTTTGGTACAAAATTGGTGATCTTAATCTCCATGAGTCCAAACTAAAATTAACACCTAAGCGGCACACATCCACAATCCAACCATCTTATTCCACCTCAATGTTTAAGACATAATTCCAAGATTCTAGGACTAAAATATAAATGCAGCTGCATGAAGCTCTTACAACAAATTGTTTGTCCATCAACCTAACTCCTAAACTACGGGAGTTAGCAATGGTTTGTTCAGAAAGTGAGCCTCCAAGTTCCCAATCACAAGATCAGCCATGGCTTGGCGGGTTTCCACTGTGCCGCTTCCTACATGAGGCAAGAGCACTACATTCTCAAGCTCAAAGAGTTTTTCGGGTACTTCAGGCTCATGCTCAAAAACATCTAGTCCAGCACCACCAAGTCGACCTTCTACTAGTGCTGAAACCAGCTCAGGTTCATCTACATGAGGGCCCCTCCCAATGTTGATGAGAACGCCCTCTGGACCCAAAGCATCAATGACTTCACGGTTGATGATGTGGCGGGTTTCTTCTGTCAGTGCGCATGCAACTACCAGAATTTGGCAGTTGGAGGCGAGCTCAACAACACTGGGGTAGTATTTATAGTTTACGTCTGATTTCTGCGATCTGGTGTAGTAACTAATAGGGCAGCTAAATGCCTCAGCTCTCTTTGCAATTGCCATGCCAATCCTGCCCAGTCCAATGATGCCAACTGACTTCCCTGTGAACTGAAATACCAGAAGAATGAAAATGTTCAAAGAGGAAGGAAGGGAAAGCTATGAGGGATAAAACTGACGCAAACAAAGTCCTTGATCCAGAGTAACATAATGTTCTATGTTAAGAGAAGCATCCATGTCCTAATTGACAATTAAGAGAAAATTAGTTACACAAGTTAATGAAAAACAACAGACTTAATATCTCCCACAGGGCTTTCTATACCAGATGGACAGAGAACACCTGATCATAGACTTGGAGGAAGATTGAACTCACTGTTACAAGTTCAAAAATCTAACTATAGAAATTACATGTTCAGGTTAAACCACAATTGACAGCAAGTGCAAATTAAAAAACAATGTCATGTAAAATGAAAAAGAAATGAAAGATTCATAAATCTATATGAAGAAAATTCCCAATGGTAACATGTCATGTAAAAGAAATAGAATAATGCATCGCTGCTTCTTTCTCAAGTAGGCATCTTCAGATAATCTGATAAATCATGAAATCAATGAAAGGTCTGTAGAACTTAAAAATGAGTCATGAACATGTATATCACTTGGGAAAAATGCTAATTAATTTGATTTATTTAAAAAAAATTGGGAAAGCACAAACAAGAAAACTCAACTAAATTAAACTTGATCTAAGATTATACAACCTCGTTTCGAGATCAAGAAAAGCTAAACCTTTCCCTCTAGCAGCTTAGCATAGTTAAATTATGTAATTAGGCATTATATTTATATGAATAATTACACAATTCAAGTAATCCCATTTATCAGACAAAGCCCAAGGCCTGGAGCACGCAGTCAACTAGAAATGATAGCAATTCAATGAGAAAAAAAAAAAATTCCAATTTGATATCATCAGATCATCAAACAATAACAATAACGAATCACAGAGACTCAAACCAAAGAATCCAAACAACAAATCCACAAAATCCAAGACAAAACCAGAAAGCTATGATTAAATAATGACGCCATTAATGACTCTAGCTCAATTTCACAACCTACCCACAAATTGAATAAGCTTAAAGAATACAATCAACCCAAAAACAATAAAATCAATTAAACAATGAAGAAGGAACAAACCTTCCTGGACAACCGGAAATCCCCTCTCTTCCACTTTCCACTCCTCACGTACCGGTCACTCTCACACAGCTTCCTCAGCACGGCCAACATCAACCCAATCGCCAAGTCCGCGACATCATCCGTCAACACATCAGGGGTGTTGGTGACTCTAATCCCCTTTTCCTTGCATTTGCCCAAGTCAATCTTGTCGAGTCCCACACTGAAGCTGGCCACGATCTCAAGATTAGGCAGAGCCTCTATCATCTGAGCATCGGCGCCGGCCGTCGCGGTTCCGACGACTGCGCGGATGGAATTCTTGTGGGTATCGAGGAATCCTGGTTTCTGCGGTGCCGTCCAGAGTCTGAGCAGGTTGAAGCGCTTCTGGAGCTCTTGCTCGAGGTACCCGTTCATGGGGCAGATCATGAGGACTGCGATAGATTCCATGTTGGGGGAAATGGGGGGAGAGCGGAGAGAGTGCCGGCTGAGCGGAAGTAGAAGTCTTTAAGGTACAATATACTTGGAGGAAGGGAAAAGGTAAATGTAGTGGTTGGTTCACTGTGTGGTTCTTTAGTGGTGGAGAATCTCGGCTCAGCTCCGACGACTAACAGAGTAGGGGAAAGGAAGATTTTTACGAAACACAAATTAGGAAAGGTTAAATGTCAATTTTAGTCCCTTAACTTTAAAATTTTATGTAATTTTCATCTCAATTATTTAATATTTGATATTTAATTTATAAAAATATATATTTATACCGATAAATCTTAAATGGTACGTGAAAAATTTTAATATTTAATTCATATTATTTCAAGAGCAACATCGATACACATACCAATACGATATTGACTATTTTGGTGGAGATTGAGTGGATGCAAGTTAATTGTTAAACCGGACGTCGTAAGATGGGACAAACTTGAAAGGAAAATGCATTAGTACCAATCCACATGTAAAAAAAATTCACGGTGCCTTCCACCCGTGTGCCGGTCATGGTGACCCTTCTTGTTGAGTAGCATGTGAGGACGCTTAATTCTTTAATTTGAGTACTAACTTAACATTTTTTTTTTAGTATAAATACTCATATTATTAATATAATTTTTACTTTAAAAAAATTTATAATGAAAAAGATTATATATAATGTTAGTATCTATCAATTTTAATTATTAAAAAAATTAAAATTAAGATACACTTTTATTCAAAAATATATATAAATATATACTGCATAGTCTGAATTAAATTATGCTACTTTGTCTGCTCATTTTACATTAAGCTCCTCAAACTCCGAAGAGATCTTAAACTACAAACCTAGTCCCATGAGTTTATGTTTAGGGCATGTTTGTTATGAGGTTAAAATTTAGTAGATAATGGATGCAAGTAGTGAATAGTAGTTAATAGATACAAATAACAAATAGTGATAGTGGGTAGTAGATGGCAGTTAATAGATAGTAAATATTAGATAGTTAAAAGTGAGTAGTAGATAATAGATAACGAATTTAATTGATATAATTATTCGGTTTTACAACAATTAATTGTTGTTATTTAATATTAAATAACTAATAAAGAAATATTTAAAAATAATTAAGTATACCTTTTTCTTTTAATATTTTTTATTATTAAAATTATTAATTTTATAAAAATAATAA